AACAATACTTTGTGTGAAATGCCTCTTGAGAAGTGGGAGTGTTACGCTGGCAGAGTCATGTGAGGTGGCAAAATGATTGCTCCAATTTGCTGTCTTGCAAAATCAAATTGTAGCAGATTGTTCTGTTTTACTCCTGCATGAGTGCTGAAAAAACAAGGATACATTGCAAACATCATATTGTAATACATGAGTAAAAATGAAATGTTAAACAAATGAATTAAATATACAACCCTCAAGACTAGCTGTGTCACCCTACATAATGGTAGGCCTGATCTACAGAAGTACATGAGTACAGCTATGTAGAGATCTGAATTTGAAGAGGAAAATATCAAGGGCAGGGGTCCCCAAACTTGGTAACTTTAAGACTTGTGGACTTCAAGCTGGCTGAGGAATTCTGGGAGTTGAAGTCCACAAGTTTTAAAGTTGCTAAGTTTGGAGACCTCTGATCTAGAGCACTCATGTAGCATCTGTTGGTAACATCCTGAAGAAGTAGTGCCTGTTCTTGGGCTCCTAAAGCAACTGTTGTGCAATTCAAAGGATATATCCATTTGGTTTATAGAGATATTTTCAAATGCTACATGTGGGCACAGTTGTATTATTTCTACTTCTAAATCTGGGTTTCTGCACATAATAAGTAGAGAGTGACCTGGGTTTTACTTCTCACTACTACAGCTAACTCTCCTTTGTTGACACAGTAGATCAAGCCATAAATCATACAGTGCAGTAAGTGAAAGGAAAGAAAACGTGTTTTGAATGAGATGAGTGTTCAAGGGCTGTGCATTTGACAGTGGTTTTGCATATCATCCTAAGTCACAGTCTGTTTTAACCATGGCTTAACAAGACATTATGGCATGGTTCACATACGAGGCTAGGTCTTGTATCTTTTGCTAAGCCAAAAGCAAAAGAACCATATAGAGTAGCATAACACCTCTACATCTATAAGTGGGAATACCAGATGAACTTTATCAATTCATCCCAGTAAATGATTGCACTGCAAATTTCCATAATTAGAACAGTCCGATTAAAAAACTTAATTAGTGATTCTAGCTAAAATGAAGGTCTTTTTATGCCTTCTCATGTGTTCTACATTTGATTGACTCAAGAAGACAGACTGTAGATGATTATCTGAAGATTCTGATGGAGATTTCACTTTTCATCTTATGCTTTCTGTCCTCTTAGCTGCTTCTCCAGAAACAGTGGTATAGCTTCTGCAGCCACAAAATTTGCAGGCTGTGATGTTCAGGGAAGAGGTTAAAAGCCTCTCTTATTTCTCCAAGTTGCCACCCAGGATACACCCAGGATGTTGCTTGAGATGTAAGTCCATAGCCTGATTTTCTGTTCTGCTGTTCTGATTTTCTGTTGCAACTGGGGGAGGCTGTGTCTTTGTGAACTTTACCTTTGCCACATGTCAATTGTGTCATTGAGTAGGCCTTGGTGAGCCTCTTTAGCTTGTCTGACTTTTCTTCCTCCTTCCCTTTACCATGTGGGCTGATCGTGGCTCAAACTTTTAATTCAGATGGTAATTGAAATAATAATACGGGCAGAACCCTTCTGTCTCTGAAACTGCAGCTGGCTTTATGGAGCTATGAATAGCTCTGAGTCACGCTCTGAAGATGGTTCTGCTTCCAATCGTTTGTTTTGTTTTGGGGGTGGGCTTTTTTTGGTACTTTTCTAATGACTATTAACGAAAAGAAAGGGGGGGAAATCATACCCTCTTCTTTCCTCAATGTATCCAATTAGAGATGTGTTAATAAAATTGCTATTTAAGCATAATGGCATGAGATAACCTAAAGAGATCAGTCTATTGATAACAACTGTAAGGACAGATGGAGACTGTTGGCCTAGATTTGGTATATTTATAATTATTTTTTAAAACACACATTTGGTTACATTCCCCTCTATGTATCTTTCATATGCTACTTGGCTGAACAAACCAAGACCCTGGTTTACCAAATGCTTGGCATTTTTTGATAGATTTATTTATTTGTATCTTGCCATCTTCCCAGACTGTTGAAACAGCAATAGCAATAGCATTTAGACTTCTATTCTATTCTTCTATTCTTTACAGCTTCACAGTGCTTTACAGCTAAGTGGTTTGCAGAGTCAGCATATTGTCTCCAAAAATCTGGGTACTTATTTTACTGACCTTGGAAGGATGGAAGGCTGTGTAACCTTGAGCTGCTGAGAATCGAACTGCCAAACTGCTGTCAGTTGGCTGCCAGCAGAATTAGCCTGCAATACTGTATTCTAACTACTGCACCACCATGGTTGATTTTCCCCAGTTTGTCAGGGAAGCTGGGACTGTGACACCTAGAATTCTTAGCTAACATAAGAATTCTGGGAGACGTAATCCAAACAACAACTCAAGGCTACCATGTTGGGCAAGATGGAGATCTGTTCAGTGGTACTGTGTTCATAGACTAACAGACTGGGAAACTGTTATTTTACTATAGTAATAACACTGGGCAAACATTGGGATTGAAATTTCTGTGAAAACTGCTTAAAAACTATACCCTACCAAATGTAGAATTCACAGATATGCCTCTTCATTGCTTCCCCCCACCACTATATTATTCTTGTATTAATAAAAGTTGATTTAATTACTGTTTCTAATTACTGTTCTACCAACCTGCCTCAACCAGTTCTATTATATAAACTCTAAAGAATTCTTAGAGATTTTACTACTCTAGATCTTAATTCTATCCCATTGTTTGAATGCCAGCACCCACTAACATTCAAATGAGCCACGGTAATAGTTAAGGCACTGGACTAGAAATTGGAAGATCACGAGTTTTAATCTTCTCATCAGCATGAAAATCAGCTTTGGGAAAAATGTCTATGGAGATTTTCAATCGTTCAGATTATGGGTTTCCGAAAGGTGCTTTGCCTTTTCTTGTTTTTTTTCCAGAACTGAAGAAGTTATTGGATAAGAAGTGAAATGTTTTCAAGGGAAAACCAAGAAAATCCAGTTGCCTTTTGGAAAAGCACATTTGGGAGAGTTATCCCCACTCTGACTCATTATTCTGAGGAAAATAGAAAATGGTGGTATAATGTACACTGCCCTAGTGTTCATTATATTTTATTTTACAATTATTTTACAATTTAGATCAAAATTAATAAAAAAAAACAGAAGCATCATTTTAATGGCATGTGTTTGGTTACTGTATTTTCACGCTAAAAAGGATGAGATTTAATTATCAGAGTCTGGAGAAGGAATGCAACTTAGTGTGGAATAACAACATGAGCTGGAAAGAAAAAAACAAAACAAAGGCACTATTACAGAAAAGCAAGGGAATAGAGAATGCCATGTAAAAACTGTTTCTAGTCAGACAGATTTAACCTAAGCCTCTTCTAGATCAAAAGTAAACTCTTTCAAAGCAGCATCTAAGTTTAACTTCAGTCTGCAGTTCAGTGGTGGGATTCAAAAATTTTTACTACCAGGTCTGTGGGTGATGCCTGGTGGACGTGGCAGGGGAAGGATACTGTAAAATCTCCAGTCAGAGATGGTATTTTCCGGTTCTCCGAACTACTCAAAATTTCTGCTACCGGTTCTCCAGAACTGGTCAGAATCTGCTGAATACCACCTCTGCTGCAGTTGTCTCAGCCAAAATCAATATTTGAATATATATGCCAAATACTGTATGTTCCTTCTTCCTTTGGACTTACTTCCAAATAAACTTAAAAATGATTCTCTCTCTTGGGAATCCTCAAAAATGTGGGATGGTTGGAATCTAGAGATCTCTATTAAATTGTTATTCTCAGCTGAACATTTCCAAGGATAAGGGTAAAGAGGAAATGACCCACAGCAGTTCAACTCACATAAAAGTGGTTTGGGGGGGGGGAGGGAGGGAGGGAGGGAGAGAGAGAGAGAGAGCAGTTTCTGAAACCTGTATTAAATCAGGTTTCACCTACCTGTCAGTATCAGATATTCTAAATAGGCCAGTATTCTAGGTTATTAGTTCTTGAGATAGGGAAGGGATGGTAATTTATTCAAGGTTAAAAGAATTGAGGATATGATCATATTACAAGTGATCTCAGCACTCCACTTCAGAATTTCAGCTAGCAGAAAAATGTTGTGAGAGCTATTCTAATTATACATTTCTCTCCAGCCTGTGAAGTCACAAAATGAAGCACTGACAGTTGATGACATCATAGATCATTGTAACTTCTGCTTCCTCCACTGTTAAAGAGACACATACCTACAAGGATTAAATTCAGATGCTTCAATAGGCCCTTAAATAGTAGTGAAGCCAACACCACTGGCTCTACAGTCGACAGGGCTGGTTTAACCAGTGGAGAAGAACTGGGAGCTATCTTGGGGCTATCTTGGGAAGAATGCAAATGTTCTAGATGTCAGTTGTCTGTCCAAAATGCCACGGCCACCTCTTGCTGGCTGCTCACATACCCGAGCCCTAAAAGATGATGAAGAGGAAATCCAGCCCTGTTATCACCATCATGTTCCAACTACTCCAGGAGACCATGTCAAGAATCATAGCAGCTCTGGAGACAATCAGATGAAAAATTCAAATGACCCACCTGCATCTTCTTTAAAAGGGTTGGTAAAAAACAAAACCCGTGGTACATCAAGACAGCATGAAGGAAAAAACAGAAATAATAAGAAGAAAGTGTCCAGGCAGAATCTTGTCCTTGAAGAAGTGTCTCTGTCTCCAGAATCATTAGGCTTGAGTTTGGAGTTTCAGGAGCCACTGTACAAAGAGGCAACAGTTTCTACCCATTTATCAGATGATGATGATGATTGGAGAGAAAAATTCCCACCCTCTTCCTATGATAAAACACATTTATCCAGGATCTGTAATGTTACCCAGTGTGATCCTTTTGATTACAATTCAGCAATTCTTTCAGGAATGGAATCTTTCTCTTCGTGGCCATTCAATGATAATGACCCATGCATTGGGTGCCCTTCGCATGCCAAAGTCACAGAAAGCTATACTTCCCATGAAGAACCTATTGAAGAAGTGGATTTTGTGTCCTCACAGTTGAGTTATCAAGAACTTAAAGAGGAAAACTCCATGCTGAGGAGAAAGATCAAAAGAATACAGAACTTCTCTGAAAGTCAGACCCAGATGGTACGAAACCTTGAGAGGACGCTGCAAGCCACTATGAACAAGGAGGAGAAAGAAGCTCAAGATTTGGAAGCACTGATGCAGCAGGCAGAGCAGAATCTTCAGTGTATGACCCAAAGAGCTCTGAAGGCAGAAAGCAATATTGAGAAGATGAAACAAGAAATGGCCTTCCTTCAGGCCGAGTTGACCTGCTACAAAGTAGAGAATGAAAGCCTGCGATCAGGCCAATCTACTAATATGGGAGCAGTGAAACAGCATGTGGATATCGCTTTGCAAAACCTTCTTAGAGTCACCAACCATGCTCATGCTACAATTCATCAGTTGGTCTTTGGTGCAGAAACACTGACACTTGTTGCTGACCTGCTTAAATCTGTGGGTAGAATGTCAGAAGTTGAAAAGGAAGAAGAGACCAGACTAACTTAGGGGGACTCTCTTGCCTATGAGTGTAACGCTCCTATAGTGCTCTTGGGGCTTAAACCTTTTGCTCTCGTAATGTATGGCTTCAAATAAGTAACCTTTCTCTTTTCCCCAGAAGTACTTTTATTACATAATGGAATATTAATTTCATACTTTAATGCCTTGGCTGCTCTTTCAAAGCTACATTGTACAAAATGTATAGATCCCAGGACTTCTTTCGGTTGACTGTTCCAAACGGAGAGTTAGCATCAAAGTTAATATGTTTTGAAAATATGTGGTGGGTTTTTTTTCCTTAACCGAATAGTTGCTGAAAGAAAAAGGGCTGAGACATCCAAATTGGCATTATGGTATCGGAGGGTGGGCTTTGTAGTTCTAGTCTTCAATCCTACCTTCCATTCCTACCTTCCATAGTTTATGTTTATAAAGAGCATAGTAAGAAATGGGAGGAAAGACACTTCTAATGAGAAAGAGCCTTCTTTTCAGGATATTGCACTAATATTAAAAGCCGTGGTTAGAATATTGCATGCTAATTTTGCTGACTGTCAGCAGTTCGATTCTCATCGGCTCAAGGTTGATTCAGCCTTCCATCCTTCCGAGGTCGGTAAAATGAGGACCCAGATTGTGTGGGGCAATACGCTGACTCTGTAACTCTGTTAGAGGGCTATAAAGCCCTGTGAAGTGGTTTATAAGTCTAAGTGCTATTGCTATTATAAATGCAGAGTCTACACTGGAGTCCTTTTCCTTCTGGGCTTAACAACCCTAATTGTTTCCAGGAATTCCATTGCTAGGGGAAGTGGTCATTAGGCAAAATATACTGTAAACTGCACTACTTAGTGACAGCAGTCCTGGTACTCCTTGTGGCAGTCACTAAGCCAGGACCTCCTGCTTCTCCTGCTTCACATTTGCCTTCAACTTCTACCCATCTATTTCCCCCCACCCATCTCTGTCCCTTTGGCTGCCCTGCACTCCACCACCCATTGCCCTGCACTCTGCCATTCTTGATGCCCCCACCACCCGGCATGTCCCTGCCCCTACTGCCCCCAGCTGTCCTTTGCTATCTTCTTCCAGCTGCTGCTGCTGAGACATGCTCAGCTTAGCCCTTTGCAAGGCCTTGGGAAAGTTGTGTGAAGCCAGCAGCTTGCTCACAAAGGGCAAAGCCAAGTCTGCCTCATCAGCAGTAGGAGGAAAAAAATGGCAAATGTCAACTTGGGGCAGAAGGATTGGTGGAGCAGTGGACTGCAGGACAGAATAGGGGGCAGCAGAGTGGAAGGCAGCAAAAAGAGGAGAGATGGAGGGGAGACAGTGGGAGGTGGGAATTGAAGTATATGCTGCAGCCGGAAATGTGGGCAGACTGTTAAGTGCCTGTATTTTGATCACATGACCAAGGGACTTCTGCAATGGCCATAACTTTGAGGGGCAGTCATGAATACCATTTGTTGAGTGCTGCTGTAATTTTGTATGATTGCTGAACAAAGGGTCATTGAGCAAGGACTACCTGTATTATGCAATGTACTCTGTACGTATGGTATGACATGTCATTATTTATTATTTCTTTCACAGTTTTTAAATACCATTCTAATTAGTATAGACTGGACAGGGTACAACCAAAATCTCTACTAATCCCCCATATAAAACAAAAACAATTGTGTCATTAAGTTATTCAATTACTTCTAACTCTTTGTAGGAGGAGAATCAGGCTAGTCTGACTTTCAAATTTTTTTGAGCTACCAGATTCCTGCTTCCCCCCCTCACCTGATCAATATTATTTTACTAGGAATTGTTTGGCAATAATTGCTTCTGTTAGGTCTTATAACAGAATTAACCAAAGGGAACATGTTTTTGTAACAGGACACGGTTGTGTTGCCTAAGATAGTACCTAGCCACATTGTCTTCTTTTTTCTAATCATTGGTTCTTCACCAGTGATTCTATTCTTCACATTATGTCCCTATTTAAGTTGTAGCTTCATTATTAAGGCTTCCAGTGAGCAATCTTGTGTTATGCTTTCTAGAACTGAATGATTTGTTGTTCCTGCATCTAAGGCAGGGGTTCCCAACCTGGGGTGCTCGCACCCCCTGGGGGTGCGAGACGATATTCCAGGGGGTGTGAGAAAAGTCCAGGTAAATAATAGGATATTGGCTATATGTTGGCATTTTTATTCCAGGGGGTGCAAGGTTCGAGTGAAATTTCTTTAGGGGTGCGGGGCAAAAAAAAAGGTTGGGAACCACTGATCTAAGGCATCCTTAACAATTTTCTCCAATATATAATAATGTGGTAAGCACCAAATCCCAAAACGTAGTATTAGAACACGCCATACAAAGGAAATAGTGGCTTTAAGTAGCAGATGTGATACAAAGTTGTACATCATGTGACCTACCCTTGCTCTCTGAAGTGTAACATAGAATGATCCCATCACTAGTGGTGAAATGGCATCAGTTGCCAAGGAGCAGAGGTACTACTATATTCTTCACAAGCAACAAAACTTCTTGAGACAACTTACATAGTATTATAACTGCTAGAGAAGGGAAAGTTCACATGTCTCAATTATGTTAATAATGGGACCACCTATCCCAGCCCTTAAGTATTGAGCTGGAAGTGACAACCATGCAGGCTTTTATGAATTACTGTTGTCCAGTGCCTGGAAAAAAATTGTATATTGGGGTATAAACAATGTTGAAGAAATAATTTGGAAAAGCACTCTGGGTTATACAAGTAACTAGATGTTCTACCATGGTATAAAAAAGTCAGCTTAGCATAGATTGGCTAGCAATGTAAATGTGCCTCATCAGATTCTTTCTTCTACTTTGTCTCCATATGACATTGCCTTCCACACTTCAATAAGTCAAAGTTAAGTTGTCCTTAAATAGAATTGTTAAATTCCAGTGTTGCTGTAGCATTTTTCTGCTTAAGCTGGTGGCAATTAACACAGTTTCAGTGTAGATAAAATCTGATGTCCATCTATAGACTAGTCACCTGTGGGGTCAGGGTTAGCAACCCATGCTTATTGCCCATTTTGGCAATTGAACTTCCTCTACTCAGTTCTGTGTGGAATGGAACAACTTGCCACAGGCAACTCGCTGCGGCCAACTCACCACAGTCAACTCGTTGCAGGACAACTCATTGCAGGACAATTTAACAATTCTATTTAATTATTTAAAATAAATAAAAAATATTTTAATTTTTGCCATTCACATTTCATTCTCTCCCTCCTTCTGCATCCTTCAATTATTCTTTTCCACTATTTGATATTAGTGTAATTCTTGTCCTGCAGTGAGTTGTCCTGTGGTGAATTGGCTGTGACGGTTGGATCTGGTAAGTTAGCCCTGACAAGTCGACCATGGTGAATTGTCATAGACCCATCCTGTGCTCTTTACCAGCTCCCTGGTGAAAAGTCTGGGACACAACTGTGAATTTACTTTATTGGGCAGCCCCCAAATTTTTGTTTTGAGAATACTAAACCATACTCAAAGTAAGCCCCTCCGAGGAGCTCTGGGGGTCTGGTGGAAGATAGATGCAAACAATATGGTGCCACTTTTGTTCAAAGGAATCTGATTTGAGCCATATGGGAGGTTCTAAAGGTGACTATGATACATAAATGACCGTTGTGTATCTCTTCCCAGCCTTTTTATAATGAGTTTTGATTTTAAATGTCTGCATGACAATGGAATAGTCTTTCATTTAACAATTTTCCTGTGTAGCCTATCTTTTAAAATTATTTTGGTTGTTTTAAGGATGCACAGGTTCATTGTTTATAATGACATAATTGATGTTTTTACATCATTTATGTCACTGTACATCATGATCTAAGTACATCAATTATTTCATTATGTAAATGGTGCAATTATATAAATGTGGATTCAATGGACATTATGGGTTTAACAGAATTCACCTCCCCCCAAAAAAGTTTTATTAAATCTTTTGTCTTGATGTAATGTTCAATCCGACTCATTATAAGTAAAGCATGAAAATTAGGCCATAATTCATGCTTCATGAATTCATGATTCAGTTAATCATAGTTATAAAATCCTGGCATTGTGGCATCTTAGAATCTTGCATTGTTGTTGTTGTGTCTTTCTTTATTCTAGAGGGGGATGAAATATAGTTCCAATGGGAATGTCAGGTCAGGAAAAGCTAATCAAATCCTAGTTGCCTCTTGCCACTGTTAGTGCTTCTATTTCCAATGCAGAAATGTTCAGATGAAAATGTCATGTAACTGAATTGGACTTGATGTTTATAGCCATATTTCCAAAGCTTATTCTTACTTTAAACCTCATGGTGCTAAGGGTCCATCCTTTGGTATCAGAGCTTCTGATCAGCATGGTTGGCATGATATTGTTAACAGGATAACAGAGCTGGAAGGGACCTTGAAGGTCTTCTAAACCCACCCCCTTCTCAAGCAGGAAACCTTATACCCGTGATGGCGAACCTATGGCCGTGTGCCACATGTGGCACGCAGAGCTATTTGTGCCAGCACACTGCGCATGCACGCACCTCATGGCTGATTTTCAGCTGGTTTGAGGTCTTTTTCGGCCTCCCAGAGGCTTGAAAAAAGCCTCTGTAGGCCAAATAGGCCCATTTCGTCACTTGCTGTAATATCGGAAGTGATGAAACGGGCCTATTCAGCCTGCAGAGGCTTTTTTCAAGCCTCTGTGAGGCCGAAAAAGGCCTCAAACCAGCCAAAAATCAGCTGTGAGGCTCAGTGCAGGTAAGAAGCGGATGGGGGGATTGCGTACGCATGCGCAGGGGGTGTGGGGCATGCGTTGCCTTCTGGGTGTTGGCATGTGAGTGCATGTGCGCCAGCATGCACACAATTTTTGGCACAGGAGCCCAAAAAGGTTGGCCACCACTGCCCTATACCATTTCAGATAAATGGTTGTCCAATCTGTTAAAAATATTTTTCAACTTGCTTTTAAATAAAAGTAAATAAAGATAATCCAATTTATCATGCTTTGATAGTTTCCAAACTTTTTGATTACACATTCACATTTTAACTTTCATTTTCCTCGAC